CCCTGCAACACCGATGTGGGGTCCAACCATCACGCCAGTGATGACCAGATGTGGTCCGTCACCCTGACTACCAGGTCTAGGTCATGCTTGTTGGGGATGTAGACCAACACCAACCATGCCTGCAGCGGCCAGAGGTAATGGACCACGTAAGTACAAGCAACCATGTGGCCTAACCACCTTAGGCAAGTGTAGGCGGTGGCTCCTTACATGTGAGATTACATCCAATGTGGCTCAGAAACAAGCCTCCGGAAGGAATGCCCTCGCCCACAAGTAATCAAGGTATGCCCCGATGAACTCTTCTATTGCACTGATATGAGGGTCGATTTCTTTTTGTTCACTTACAGGCCCAGGTCGTGGCATGTAGAATGCACCAGATCGAGGCTGCTCTTCACTTGATCCCGCAATCTGTCTTTGATGAGCCAATCGTCAAGATAAGGATAGACCTGGACACCCCCTCCCCCCCGACGCCTCAGATAAGTGGCTACTGGGGCCATACATTTTGTATATACACTCGCAGGTCTGAGGAGAGGCCAAAGGGAAGCACCATGAACTGGAAATGGCGCTGGCCCACCATAAAATGGAGCAACTGTCTGTGTCCTTGGAAAATAGAGATGGAAATAAGCATCTTTCAAGTCGAGAGCAGCGTACCAGTTTCCCGGATCCACGGAGGGGATGATGGATGCCAGTGAAACCATGTGAAACTTCAACTTCTTGAGGTACTTGTTGAGTGGTTCAGGTCCAGAATGGGTCTTAGGCCCCCTTTTGCTTTTGGAATCGGGAAATAGCGGGAGTAGAAACCTTTCCCCCCTCATTTCTTGAGGGACCTCCTCCACCACCCACAGTTGTCGGAGGTTGTCTACCTCCTGAATGAGAAGTTGCTCATGAGAAGGGTCCCTGAAGAGGGGCAGGGAAGAGAGGAGACGGGGGGGCCAAAAACTGAAGGGTGTAGCCCCATGACAATCTCTAGCTCCCAGTGGGCCGAGGTGACTCTCGACCAGGCCAAAGGGTAGGGATGGAGACAATTGAGGAAAAAAGATGGGGCAGATCTGGGGAGGTGACTGGGGAGCGGGTCTTGAGTGCGCACCCAAAACACCAGCGTCTGGCCCAGTGGTGTTTCGCTGGGCCAGGTTGTACAGGTGAACAGGAGGAGAAAGGGTGGCGGCGACTAAAACCAGTGTCCCTTCTCCTCGTAGAGCCCTGCAGAGGCTGCCAAGGCCTTGGCGGTGGGGGCAGCCGGAATTGCTTCCTTGCTGATTGAGGCGTAAGCATCCTCAGGGAGAAGAGGGTGGTCTGAGTGTCCTTCAGACCGTGCAGCCTCATGTCTGTCTGTTCCAAAAACAGCCCAACTCCATCCAACGGGAGATCTTGTATCGAGGACTGCATCTCTTGGGATAGGCCTGAGGTCTGATGCCAGGAACTGAGCCTCATGACCATCCTGGCCGCAGAATCGATCTCATCCCAGGCCATCTGGAGGGAGCACAGAGCCGCTGCAGTACCCTCCTCAACAAGGGTCCTGAACTCTTTGGCCACCTCCTAGGGCATGGAGTCCTTAAACTTGTGGAGGGAGTCCCACAGTTAAAGTTATATTGCCCCAAAGAGCCTGGTGGTTCATGACTCAGAATTGGGAGATTGGCTGTGGAATAAATTTTCTTCCTGAAAAGGTCCAGTCTCTTGGCCTCCTTATTTTTGAGGGTGGAGCTAGCATGCCCTTACTTGTCCTTTTTGTTGGCCGCCGACACAACCAATGACCCCGGGAGGCAGGTGGGTGTATAAGTATTCAACCCTGTGGTTGAGACAAAATACTTTTTCTCTGCCAGCTTGGAAATGGGCGGGATGGAGGACGGTGTTTGTCAGAGGGCTTTGGCAATGTTCAGGACCCCTTCGTGCACCAGGAGTGCGACCCATGCGGGGGTGGATGCAGAGAGTACATTGAACAAAGTGTCTGATTGGTCCGCCATCTCTTCTGACTCTTGGTTTAAGTTAGTGGCCACCCTTCAGAGCAGGGCTTGGTGCTCCTTAAAGTGATCCAGTGGGCTAGCAAGGGAGGGCTCTGCCACCACCTTGTCTGGAGTGGAGGAGAATGACCCAGGGCATCATCCCCTGCAGGGGAAGAGGGTCTTGGGGTGGACACCTGTTCTTCCATCTCAGCTCTCGACAACACTTCATGCACCGAGCCTGGTGCTCCCTGTGCTGATTGGAACTTATCTGACATGGCGACCGATGATTGGTGAGACGGGGGCATCAGCATAACCAGCACACCCCTGGCTTTCCAGTAAGGCCATTGCACTGGCCACTGGTCCTGCTGCCTGATCTGCATCGCTGGGTGGATGCAACCTCAGGATCCCAGTCATAACTGTGCTGTCTCAGCGAGGGGCTGAACTCGCTCTCCATGCTGGAGAAATCCTCCTCCGGTGACCAGGGTGGGACCATTGACACCTGAGTCCTGTGGCTAACAGTCGCCGTGAGTGATCAGTACCTCGAATAGTCAGACCGGTGCTGGGAGTAGGGGGAACAGCGCCGTGTTGGGGAGCGTCCCTGAGGTCTCGGTGATGGTGCTCGTTGGCGCAGAGATGACTGGTGCCGACTGTATGACAACCGGCACTTCCCTCTGGGTGAGACTCTGCATGAGGGCGGAGACCGGGAGTGCTGTACCGGTGATCTGTGGCAGCGAACCAGTGATCTGGACTGATGCAGACACCAGGGCGCAGCAACAAAGGGCTCTGCTTCGGCTCCGTAGACTGGCGACACTCACTCACCTTCTGGGAGGCCTTCACAGCTAGCTTACCCTCATAGGGAGCCTTCGCCGGGTCCATCGCTGCATGTGGTGCCAGCGAAAGTGGGAGAGTCCTTTGCTCTCTGGGCACCGGGAGCTGAGAAGGCATTGACTGTGCCATCAGCCTGGGTCCCCTACTGCTCCCCGGAGTCGGTGGAGGATCCCTTTGGGGGGGGTAAGAGGTCCCCTCGGGGACATGACCCCTTGCGGCTCCGGCATGGGCAGGCAGCCTGAGCAGCGTCCTTTACCCTATGCACCTTGGTCCGATTTGCTCATTGCCAGGTCCCTCTTCTTGGGCACCGGCAAAGGTGATTGGTGCCGGGTAGAGCCCAGTGCCGGAGATGCGCTATGCACGGAGGCCGAAGTGCCGAGCATTGTGTCCGACTGGGCCGGCTCTGAGGCTGGGTGAAGAGCAGCCTGCAGGAGGAGGGCCCTCAAATTAATGTCACGTTCTTTCTGTGTTCTAGCACCAAAGTTCTTACAAATGCAACACTTTTCTTTAATGTGGGATTTCCCAGGCACTTCAGATAACTACCATGTGGGTCACTAACAGGCATAAGCCTATTACAGTCAGCACAGGGTTTAAAACCCAGTAACAGGGCATGCCATGCCTGGGGCAAAGTCCACGCTGGGATCCTAAACTGACTAAGTACAGTACTTAATAGCTACTTACTAACTAATCTGCAATAAAAAACACAGACTACTTACAGTTGGAACACAAAGTTCAAAGAGTAAAGAAAATGCTCACCACCTACGAAGCAAGGGGGAGAGGTGCTCCGACCAACCACCACAGGCGGTAAGAAGGAACTGAGAGGGCTTAGGGCCGGCAGCGCCTGATATAATGACGTATGAGCGCGGCACTCAAGGGGGCACCACAGCAGACCCTATGGATACCGCTAAGGCAAAAGTCTCTGACAACTATGCATGTGGGTGTGCACACACCTAGAATGGAATCTACATGAGCATGCACTCGAAGAAGACGACCAGACACTTTTCCTATGACTTTAGGACAAAGCGTGTAAACTAAGAATTGTGACACGTGTAAACTAAGAATTGTGGATTTAGAAAAGTATATATATTATATATATATATACACACACACACACACACACACAGCGCGAGAATGTGTACACATACACCTCTACCCCGATATAACATGAATTTGGATATAACGTGGTAAAGCAGTGCTCTGGGGGGGCGGGGCTGCGCACTCTGGCGGATCAAAGCAAGTTCGATATAACGCGGTTTCACCTATAAGGCGGTACGATTTTTTGGCTCCCGAGGACAGCGTTATATCGGGGTAGAGGAGTACGAGTGTGAGTGAGTGAGTAGCAATTAGTTGATAGGAGTTGGTAGAGACAAGGACACAGTTCAAAAGGCAGAGCAACCAATAACTAATCCTGCTGCATATTTACACTAACAGACATTTTTCAAGGGTATCATAAAACACACTAACCCAAATGGAGATTTTGAGAAAATGAGCACAACTCCACTGAAGTCAATGCACATAACGCAAAATGCACTAGTGCAATGCAAATGTGCTACACACTCAGAGGTTTAGTTTCTAATGAAGACCATTACCTTTTGGTTAAAGAAAATTAAGTTACTAGTGATAATGGCAGAAATCACAAATCCATAGTTCATCTGCTGGTTCAACTGTTTTGAGGGAAAGTTGTCAGATCAACAAAAACAATATTACGACATCAACATATAGACTTTAACAAAAAAAACCAACTAACTTAGCCTTATCTTACTTTTGTTGACCAAACTTCCATTTCTACAGAAACAGGCTCAAGAAAGCCACTTCTATCGAAGCATTGAGGATTCAAAATTTCTTTTTTGCTGACTGTAGCAATGATTTCAACACAATTAGCTCCAGACAATTAAAATATGTTTTTAAAAGAAATTATGTACAAAGCAGAATGCGGTATGCAAATTTTGCAATCTGACGGACTAATACACAGGTCATATATAATATGGGAACAAGTAATGCAGCCAAATGTGAAACATGACAAACACAAGCCCTTCCTCTCCCAAATACACACAAATGCAACAACAGAGAAAGTGAGTGTGTGTATCTGAGGGAATAAACCGATAATAGCAGCAATGATAACCTCAGCAAAGACTATTTCTTGGAGATCAACGGATGGTTTAGGTTATCAACAGGAAGTGCATTGTGTCATAATCATTATTACTCAAAACAACAAAGGACCATCTACAATCTTACCTAGTTCTGGGGGCAGCACAGTAAGACGGTTTCCCTGGATATGAAGTTCCTTAAGTTGAGTGAGTTCACCAATTTCTTTAGGCAGTGATATCAGGTCATTGTCCCTAAGGCTCAGCTAAAAGAAAATATAAAGTCAGAACAATTTTCAGTTAAAATAAAGCAGCCTAAAAGAGAACACTTACTCTCTGCCCACCCGTCGCCCCCCCACACTCAATTCTTCCAATTTATTTACAAAATAAACAAGAAACAGTACCAGGTGTAGTGGTTATTCCTGAAAAACAAACCCTACTACTTCTCAAATTGACTAGATTCTACTGCTACAAGGGCTGTGAAAGTGAATTGATTTTCCAAGAATTTAGATAAATTACTTACTATCTGCAACTTTGTGAGCTTCCCAATATCTGGCGGCAGGATTTCAAAATCGTTGTCACTTAGATAGAGTGCACGCAGGGTGGCTGCAAATTAAACAGCAATATATAAACAGGGTGGCATATAGCCCAACCATTTGAGGTTGGATCAATAAGAGAGTCAGCTTTGATTAATAACCCTGACTTGGTGAAAAGCCTTTGACATACTCAGGGCTCACAATAATAACAAGCAGGTCAAACTTAGATTTACTGCCTTATTGTATTGTTGGTGTGTTCAGGAAAACATCTATATCCAAAAGGACTGACACAATTAACAATTTCTACAATAGACTGTGGCAGGTTCTGGCACATAGTTTCAATACTCAGCTGTCAGAAGGAGCAATTACTCTTTATTACATCTGATTCCTAGTTATTACCCAATTTGCATTAAAAAAAGCTGTGTTTTGGAATGAATTTACACCTATATTTAACTACATGCAGTGCTGTGGAAAGATCTTAAAACAAGATAGTAGAACACAAACAACTGAGTTCAAATCAAATCATTTATATTTTCATAGGTCGTCTCTCTCTCTCTCTCTGCAGTAGAAGACAGAATGATAAAGTTTAAAAACGAAAAAAGAAAAACCCAATACATCCATTTAGCTTATTACTATTTGCACAGCACTGTGGCTGTGCATGGTACTTTTCAGGAAAATTAAACCAAAAGAAAACAACAGTGAATGCTGGGAGGACGACTATGACTTCCCATCCCTTCCAAGAGCAGTTGGATGTCTGTTTTGCAGGTTTCTCGTTAGTTGCATTGTAGTCATCATCATTTTTAACTTTTTGATCATTTAAAATTTTCCTTCTATTGGATCATGATCAGTAGGTCCTTCTCAGCAAGCAGCATGGCCTCCTCTAACCTCTTTGCCACTTTTTCTGCTTAGGCTGTGATTGCACTTCCAATAAAAACACTGTTAAAAAGAATATTAAGGTTGCAAAGTCAAACACTCAAAAGTTAGAAAACACCAGAATAAAGATTGCCTGTGTAACTGTAATTGAGCCTCTGTATGCCTGCATTAAAGATACAGTCTTTAACTACATGATCACATACTATTTCTTCTACCCTGCCTCATTCAGTGCACACGAAGGATGGAGCTCTGGGAACGAATCAGGGTTGTGTAGTGAAAGAAGCTGCTGTCTGTAGGAGCCTTGCCTCACTCGATGCAGAAGTTGGAAGGTGTCTAGTGAATGAAGTAAGGGATTGCAGAAAGAGAAAAAATATCTTTTTAAGGAAGTTGAATGCTTTCCTTGGGAACTAGATTCTATTCTGGCCTCCACCATAGAGTTTCTATCTGTTGCTGGGCAAGTCACATAAACCAAAGTGTTCACGGCTGGCCACTAATTCGGTGTTCCTCATTTTCTGGGTGCCCTACAGATACTTAGGGCCAGATTTGCAGAAAGGCCAAGTGTTCACAACTGTAACTGAAGTCAAGGGGGGGGGAAGGGGGGAGGGGCACTGTGCTTTGAATATACAAGGTGCTGTAAAAATGCTAGGGACTCTGAAAAATCAGACCTTATATGTCCCAAAATCAGCAGACACTTTGGACTGTTTTTGCCTTAGTTTCTCCGTGCCTCAGATCCACAGCTATAAAATGGAGAGAATACCACATCCCTACCTCAGAAGAGTGTTCTAAAGCTAAATTCATTAATGTTTGACTAAACACTCACAGCATGATGAGAGCACCATAGAAATGCCCTGGAGAAAATCAACAGTACTGTATTCAATGCAGTTTGGATGGTGTGCAATAAATAAGGTCGGGGGCCACACACTGAATGAGGATAAAAAGTAATATTGAATTCACTTAAAAGGCGAGGATCATATGGAAAAAACAATATGTGGTAAAATAATTAAAGACTATCATAATAGATATGCACAAAAAAGGCTCAATTAAAGCTGCAAAAGCAATCAGAATTCTGAGATTTCATGACTTCTGAGCGTTTGACTTTGTAACCTTAACAAGCTTTTAACATATATATAAACACTAGACACACACATTTCTGGAAACCTGGTTGTGGTTACTTTCAGATTGTCAACACACCTCAAGGTGACATTCTTTATTGTCCCATGAGACTTGTTAGCGTCTATTAAATTTTAGCTAAGTATGTGGATCAAGAAAATATTACCCTCAAGAAAGCTAATATGCCATTACTAACCAAGTCCTTGCATGCCCAATAGTGTCAGGTGACACTATATCAATGGTACGTATTGCTGAGCTATGTAGAAATATTCAAGAGGACCAAGGAAGAAAAACATATATCTAAAAAATTCTATTGGAGTTTGGTCTCTATCAAATAAATTTCACTGGCAGAAAGCAAAGCACCATTTCAGGAAGATTTATAGATTTTTTTTTTTTAAAGTTTCTTACTCAGATAGAAGAAGTTTCCAGACAGGGAATTTTCATTTAAGTTGTTATAAGTCAAGTCAAGAACCTCCAGAGCTGGTAAAGATCCAAATCCTCTAGGCAAGGTATTTAACCTGTTCATGCTGTTGGTGGTGGAAAAACAAGACACACAGAACATATGTTTATATTCATTTTGCCAGTTAATCATAAGCAAAACGGATGACGGCATTAAGAGCTTTCCAAAAAAGAGGAGGCCACACTAATTTCTAGGTCAACCCTTTTAGGGCATAGTGCCAAAGCCCCCAACTCCCACTGGTTAATGGGATGGGAGCTGAGGGTGCTCAGCACCTCATAGGATTGAGGCCCACAGACCATTATTCCCCAAATTCCCATGACTTTTCTTTTTGTTCCTATCTCTTACCCTACACCCCTTCCTTAATTTCATCCTATCATTTTCCCTAATAAAGTTAGTTTCTTCTCACAACCAGTTCATCTTTGATTGCACTGAAGTATAATTACTCGGGTCATAAGGGTTGCATATTCATTAAGTCACCTAATTATCAGGTCAAGGCACCGTACCTTAAGCTGTACAGTCCAGCTAGAGCAATAAACTAAAGGCAGAGACCTACAATTAATCCAAGAAGCACAGCAGATCCAGAACCTATTGATCTAAGATGGCCATAGAGCCACTGAAGAAGGCGGAACAAGCAGACTTTACCACTCTTCAGTAATAGAGATGCTTTGGGGGTGGGGTGGGGTAGGGTGGATACATTCAACACAATGCAGCAAGGAATGACCATGAACAGGGGATTGAAAAGGGTTACGTGTGGATGAGAATTTCAAAACAGAACTAGTTATACAATGGGCGGTGTCAGGGAAGTCCTAAAAGGAGGTGGGGGAGAAAGACACTGAATTTTCAGTCAACAAGATCTTCCAACCAGCTCTCGTTACAGTAGTGGAAAATGACAATGTCATTGTCTTATTTTCTCACACACACATAAAATACATTATAAGAACATCATTAAGGTTGAAAATTCAAGCACTCAAAAGCTAGGAAATGCCACAACTAAAGTTGTATGTGCAATAGTCTTTAATTACATGATCAGTTAATTACACACTACTTTTTTCCACATGATCACATACTACTTTTTCCACTCATTCCTCATTCAGTGCCCAGTTAATAATCAGCTATTCAATACTTTGTTTTCTCCTCATTGGTCAATGTGTGGCCCCAGGCCTTATTTACTGCATGTTATTCAAACACTGCTCTGAAGACAGAATTCTTCATTTCCTTTTCTACAAAGCTCATCATTATAATACCTGAGTGCTTCACAAACATTAATGAATTTATTTTCACAACACCGCTGGGAGATGACTGGGTATTACCCCATTCTACAGAAAGGGAGCTGAGGCACAGAGAGAATAAGATCAAAGATATCCGTTAATTTGGATGCCCAATTTGAGACAACTAGAATCTAAGTTTTCAAAGTACTTAGCATTATATAGCACTTAATATTTCAAAGCACAGCTTCCATGGAGTTTAATTGTCTGAAATACTGAGCACTCACAGCTGTAATCTGACACCAGGGTCTTAAAGTTTGACACCCAAAAATGAGGAACAGATGCGGAGAAAAGTTTGATCAAGTGATTTCCAAGCATCACATAGGAACTCTGTGGCAGAGAAAGGAACAGAATTGAATTTTTCAGAATAGTATTCAACTTCCTTAACCATCAGACCATCCTTTCTCTTCCTGCAACACCCTACCTCATTCACTATACACCTCATGACTTCTACAACAACCTCCTTCACTAGAGAACCCCGATTCATCCCCAAAGAAGATCCACCCTGTGCACTGAATCAGGGGAGGTCTTGTGGAAAAAACAGTATGTGATCTTAATGCATACACATGAGGATGTTTATTAAGGTTGCCAAGTCAAGCATTAAAAAAATTAGGAAATGCAAGATTTAAGGTTGCACAGGCAACCTTAAATCTTGCATTTCCTAATTTTTTTAATGCTTGACTTGGCAACCTTAATAAA